TTTTTTTTTTTTTTTTTTTTTTTTTTTTTTTTTTTTCCAGTTTATGCATGTCATCATTACGCAGGGGCCATGCAACTACTCGCCCGCGACTGATTTCGGTCGTTCGAGCTTGCGATCACGCGGTCAAAATCGACCGTGCCTGTTATGTATGTCTGCTCTGATAAAAGGAGCTAGCGCCAGTAAGGTGAATTCAGATTCAATCCTGGTATCCTCTAGGTGAGAGTCCAATGTCATATCCTACTGGGCTAGCTCCTGCTCCTGGAATAGCAGGAGCAACCCTTCTACTATATATAGGGTTTTCACTAGTATGCAGCCCACCTATGGTCGAGCAGGCTTTGCTTGCCCCCCCCCCCTTTTCTACGGCCGACTGCCTATCAATAGCATGAGCGGCCACTCAACCGGGCAGGCCACGACGCTGTTTCTCCTGACCCCTGGCGCAAAAATCGGACTCCGCAGGTCTCAAAATAAAACATTAGGCATCCTTTTTTTTCTATATCGCGACCCTATATCTTATGCGACTACTCTTTTCAATTTAACTAAGCCCTGACGTCATTATCTTAAGTAGGATAGGTCTTTAGCTTTATCATTCCCACGATCGTGTGCCTCCCCGACCCTGCAAAAGAAAAACCGCATTGGATTGGTCATACTCCGGATTACCACCATTATTCTTGGACGTAACAAGCGTTCGGCTAAGGTAAAAGGTTATAGTCCTTTGGTCATAGGCTAGTCTGAATAAACTTATGGTTGATGTAAGACTTAGTCTCATCAAGTTCCTTAAATTAATGAATGTCCGACATTGAAAAATCCAAGCAGATACCCTTGTAAGGGTTTCTGCTCCGACAACGCCATTGCTGTGTGACCACACTATCATGTACAATTGCAACTTTACCCCATCACGAACTGCCTTTCACAGACTAACGGCCTCTGAAAATCACAGTCGACGGCCTAAAAAATCTCATGCACCTCCCCAAAAAAGAAAATATCCACCATCCACGAAAACGCCACACGACGGCCTCCGCTTACCGCAAGTTCCCCGTCTCTCAAACCGCCCCAATGACCAGTCCCTCTTGCTCAGTGACCGGACCCTTTTCGTCGATCGCTTTGACCTCGATACGGTCCCCCTCGCCTCAAATCACATCAATGACATTTCCAGAAAAAGGTTGTGTCCGCTGCGCGCCTCCTGGCCGCAAATTGCAACTTTACACACGTAAAATTTACGAAAATAGGTGTTAGTTTGCGTATACCCTAAGGCCAACACTCTCCCACATACCAGCAAACCTCTCACATTCGCACTTGCACCCGTATTGGCTGAAAACCTAATACCTTTTTTTTTTTTTTTGCAGCCAGGATGCTACGCTATACCCAGTTGCATTTTTGGCGCGTAGCGGGCTTCCTGATCAGGAAATGTCGATGACCTTTTTGGGGTTTAAAGTGGTGTAGAGGGGGCCGAAAATGGTGAAATCGTTGTCGTAAGACCGACCAGTCATTTAGGCGGTCGTAGTAGAGGCAAGAAATGAACGACAAACGGTAGCCTGCAGAGATCGGTTGTTTTGAACGCCGTTCAGGGGCTTTTTCTTCAGGCAAAGTTCGAGTTCGAGAAATCGAGAAAATTGTGGACTCCGACGGAAACGGGAAAGCGGGGGACGTTTGGGAGGGGTAAAAGGTCAACCGGTGGGGTCTCCAAAATGTGCTCCAAGACCCCATGCCCTTCGGGTTACGCCTCCATGCTGTGCGTGGTAGCTGACTATCTCGGTTGGGTTGCACAGGGAGACGGAAAACAAAGGACTGACCTTTGACCGAGGATTGACACCGACGAAGAGGGGACACAGACTGACTGTAGGACGACCTGGAGGGAAGGATCGAGGCCTTGAAGGTTGAGAGTTGAGAACAACCCTTGGCCAAAATTGGCGAAGGAGAAAATGACTCTTATCAGACCGCCTGATGAAGTGACATGTGTGCCTGCAGATTTGCTTATGCACTGAGCACTGCTGGAGGGCGTGCGAAGGAGGATCGAGGGAAATCCAACAGATCCGACATCTCGCAGCCTGCGTCAACTGCTGTGCTGCCAGTCACTTTTACCGTCGCGGGTGGTGGGAGCAGTGCCGCCAGGGTTGGCAACGTCCAAATGCACCTCGGGTGAGTTCTGAGGTCCGTGGTCCCATCCGAACCTTAACCAAATAGTCCGCAACCTCTAGAGTCCAACTGCTGAGTACGCAGTCCCATTCGTACCTCGACCAAAATAGCTTGCAGCTTGTGGAGTTCAACCGATGAGACAGTAGCATATAGAGGGTATCCAAATGCACGTCGTAAATGTCTGAAATCTAGGGTTGCGAAGAAGTTGTGCGAATGAGTAGAGCGGGAATCCTAACCAAACGACCCAATAATCGTTAGTTTGCAGCCCTTAGGCTGCGGTACAGTGGGCTTTCGCGTCTGTGTCAAGGTGTCACATTTTTGGCGGCGGGTGACCGGGACGCGAAGTGGGTGACCGGCCCTGTCTTCTCAAAATAGGGAGGTTAGGCACAACGAAACATGTGTTTTGCAAGAGGTAACTTTCACGATTTTCTGTGCTCGGACGAACCCGCAGAAAAATCTGAAATTTTGAGAATCCATAGACGAGGTCGTGTTCTTTCCAGAATAATATTAGAACGTTGTAAGAAAATAATTTAGACTGCAAAATAATTGTTTCGCCGATTCGGCACATTTTCTATTTTTGCCACTCAGCCATTTGTGGGCCAACTAAAAAAACACTCCAAATTCAGTCAGTTTTCACGCTCAGAAGAATGCGTGAAAAAACCTAAAAATTGGAATACTCGTATATTTTGTTGTGATCTTTCAAGCAAAAACGCTCACTAAAAAATAAAAATAAAAATTGAACAGTGAAATGGATCGCGGCCGCAATTTGACCCATATTTCAATTTTGTTATTCGTTTTTTTTTTGTTTTTTTTTTTTTT